ACATTCAGGGCTCAAGCTTCACCTAGCTGAACTTGGCACAGATAACAACTCCTAACTCCCACTTTCTTTAACATAACCTTTTGACAAAATTCCACATATACAGCTGTTAGACGCATACAGAAGCTGGAAAACATTTTGCTTATATACTATCATTTCGTGTGCAATCATCTCAAGTCTACACCAAGTAGATGTAGTCAGCTACAGAAAGAATAATGAAGGAAATGAAAATGTGAAAACAACTATGGGTGGCAAAACAAACAAATGTCAATAGACTTATGACACAGGCAGGCATGTTGTCAGCTTGGTATTGTGTGACAAACAGCTGATCTAAAAGAGAAAATTGAGGCTGTACAGAAGGTCTCTTTTATGGGTTCTCATGGTATTCTGCATGACTCGATCACTTCACTCACAGCTTTATGAGTCTCAGGAGATATCATGTCCAATGACAGATGAAATGCCTGCAAGGGAAGAAAAGATAAATGTTATAACTTGTGACTCAGCCTCAGGAAAACAATGTAGAAGAAAGAATGCAGATTTTTTGCTTCTCCTTAGAAGCATGGTCACCCTAAACCCTGATGCTGTGAATGTCATGCTACTTCTAATTTCATCCTTGATATACTTGGGATAAAGACATACCACAAATCTCTCTAACACAGGTACCAGAATTGCCAGGTTTTGATTCGGTAGACAAGCAGCAATTGCATTCCGTATGCTCGTACTGTCATTGACAAATGGAATATGATGAATTAAGGAAAACTACAGGTAAACTGTTCAGTTGAAAAGCAAAGAGAATAACAACCTTTCAGTGGAAAGAAATGCTAGCAGTAGAGCTGCATAGGCTTCTACAATCATCTTCTCTGCTTCTTTCTCTCCTTCTAGAACAGCATCCTCATCATTCTGCAAAATGCAAATTTAAGTTACAATGCTCTGAACAGGAAAATCATGTCTATAACATCAAAGTTCTTCAAGACAATAATTAAAGTGCTTCAGAAAAATCATTAAAATTTAGCATATCCAAAACCATTTCAAACTTTAAACCTGAATATTCTATTTAAAATTTTAATGGAAAATATGGTCAAGGTGCATCCATTACTCCTAAAATTGTGCACCCAGTTAAACATATCATGTTCAAGGGGATGGAATGTGTGCAACAACTGAGACTTTATTAACTAGACTGCTTATTTCTACCTAAGAAACTGAAGAACAAGGAAAAGGAGGATATGGGAAGGGAAGGGAAGGGGGGAGGGCAGGGGAGAATGAGGAGGACCACTAGATCTGATAACATTATAGAAGCAAATTCCTCACCCAAGTCATATCTTCCCGAGCCTTGTCACCAGCTCCTCGATTTGCAAGAAAGATGGCACAAAGCAGTGGAATTACATCCCTACGGCTCTCATCTTCTGACTTTCGCAATGAAACACTAGCTGCTGCAAGCCGCGATCTGTATGGCAACAAAATATTACTAATAATGTGCTAGAAGAAGCTAGATTCTATATCACACAAAGCACAAAATAAGTTATCTACTTTGTTGTGCAAGGTATTGCAAATAAATGAGGATGGGTAGCACCAAGACTAATGACTAATTTCAATATCAATGCTTTATTATTTCATGAAAACAAAATCTGGCAAAAATAGCACAGGTCCATACTTCTAATTCTGAGAGAAAGAAAAAGAGGCCAACGCGGGAGTTTAACATGCCATTGTCCCAATTCTGTACATAAACAACATTCTCAAACAAAAGGACAGGCATAGAGAAGACAATTAACCTGTTCTGCCCATCCTTCTCAACTAGGTTCACAAGCAGACCTAGTATTGCAACAAGGAAATCCAGCTCTTGATCAGTAAGATGTCTATCATACTGATATTCAAGTTCAATACACAAAGAATCCTCTTCACTTTCACTCCCAAGAGACAATGATTTGGAGAAAGAAGGGAAGTGGCTGGCAATCAATGAAGACATGGTCTCAAGTCCGCCACAAGAAGCAATTTGCCGACAGCCAATAGGGTTGTCATTTGTTAAATTCATCAGAACCTGCAAGAATTTAGTAATCCCACAATTTATCAAAAGAAGAAAAATTTTCGGTCTGTAAAACAGTATAGACAATTAAACCAAGGGGTAAGACTTGTTAGATGCAAGAATCAAGAAGGATGAAATTAAACCAATTAAATTACTTTTACCCCAACATCCCATGTAGATACAGTTCATAATCTAATCTATCCCATAAAGAATAACTGGATTGTACACTTATCTCCTCTTCATCTGAATTAAAGCTGAGAAGAAAAGCTACTAAGGTAACATTGAATGTGAAACAGAAAGTCTCATGTATTTAAGGTATACCTTTACAGCAGTTAGGAGACAGTCAGAGAGAAGAGCAGAATTATCCTCTTCAGCACCCTGAGAACCAGAGATCTCTTGAGAATGAAGATCTTCCTCATTAATTGAGGCTGGCTGGTAAATTTCTGTATTATCTGATTCTTCTTGGCTCATCATCGGGTGGTGATAATACCCATCTTCTTGTTCTCTGTTTCTTATGACACGTTTTTTACCTCGTGCTACCTTTTTCTTTCCAGACAGTAAGTCCCATTTTGAAGGCTCAAAGTCATCTTCATCGAAAGCAAAAGGATCTTCACTATCCTCAAAAAATGGACCCCTATCCTCTTTTGAAGCCTTAGAGCTTTCACCAAGATTTCTTGTTACAGGTCTGTTCAAACTTCTTAATGCCCCACTACAAGAGCTGGAAAAGGAAGAGTTGACTCGCATCTTCAGCGAGCAAGAATCATTCATGAATGTAGTGGTGGTTTGAGAACTAGATACCACAGGGCCCAACTGGCACATGGGAGGCCCTGGATCATTCTGAGATGTACTGGAACTCCTTTCTGAGAAACTCCAATCCATGCTAGAGCATTTTTCTGAAGAACTGATGCATATAACTTCATTGCTCTCAGCTGCAAATTAAATCAAAGCACTAGCCATGAGAAAGAGAAGACACTAGAAAGAAAGATTGAATAATATTAGAACTAACAAATACCTCCATGGTGTGCAATAAGACCCAATTCAGGACCAGGGACTGACGCATTAGAATTATTAGAAGTCTTTCCCTTGCTGGAGGATGCAGAACTCTTGGAAAGGTAAAGCTCTGGAAACCAATACCATTGTCAGCAGAATGCAAAGTGCTTTATTTATCAAAATAAGGGGATTAAGCCATTAAAAAAAAAAAAAAAGGCCTGTTTAGTTGGGAAAGCTTCTCAATTTTCAATGGGTATCTTTTGAAGTCCATTTTCAGCTAACTCTTTTAGGTACAACTTCTTACAAAAAAAGAAAGACAAAATTTTTTTTTTTGGTGAAAAAAAAAAGGTAAGTTGTTGAAACTAGACAGAGGGTTTTTTGAAAATGGGAAAACCAAAAATGCCTTAACCATTAAAAGAAGTGCTTAAAACAAGTCGGATGGAGAACAACTAAAGAAGGTTTGCTATTTATCCAAAACAGGCATTTTAATTTTCCAAAAGATAGGACATAGGGAAAACAAAGCTATTTTCCATTAATTATTTTTATAAACATATAAACAAAATCTACCAACCCAAACATTTTAAAGGAAAACAGTCTGAAAATTTGAGCCACAGTTGCAACATCAGTTACCTGAGAGAATCTTGATGACACTTATAACAAGCTTTGTAAACGAAAGTCGAGATCCATAAGAATCAAACTTTCCCTTCATTCCAAGCAAATGACTCTATATTTGAAAAAGAAAAAAAAAATAAAATCCATTAAGAAAACATCAAGGGACAGATCTCCAGAGTTCTGCAAACTGACATTAGAAAACTCAAGAAGAAAGGATAAGGAATCAAATACCTGATTATCTTGACTAAGGAATGTGGCATTTTCCATTATTTTCAAACATTTCAAGAGTAGCACAAGACTCTGGATATCCTTCTTATCTATCACATAAGAACCAGAAGATGAACTTCGTTCTATACAGCCCTGGAGATAATTTAAGCATTAGCATCAAACATCTTCAATGAATATGTGAATCAGAAATTTTCTAACAACTGACAAATGAAAGAAATATTTTTAAAATTTCTTGTACAACCAAAGACTAAAAGAATTTGTGGGTCATAACAGTATACCATGTTTTTATATAAACGAAATGCAAACCAGAAAGGTTTCTTATAATTTAAACCAATTCCCTTTCTGTTTTCACTGTAGACATAACAGAAATGAGATACAATAAACATACAGGCTCACACCTCTAAAACATAGTGACAATCCAAAGCTACTTCAAAGACAGAATCAAGTCCTCCATGCTCTCTCAGTTTTTCTTTGAATTTACCACCCATTTTCCTTACCGTACCAGTGGTATCTGAATTAATGAGAACAACAAAACAAGTGAACGCAATCAGCAGAGACAAAGAAGCAACAGAAAACACCATGTTTTGTATTCAAATGCATGTATTTTATGCATATGCATGCATGTGTGAGTTTGAGTCCATATTTACAAATTTTTTATGTATACTTGAATGCAGTAGCTGTCTGCAGTCACCATAATAAAATATATAAAATGTACACAATCAAATCCTCAATGTTTGTCTTCCATCAAACCTTCAAAAGAAATCTTTGATAAGCAAGCTTTTTCCATAGTCAACAAAGCAATCCATTTTGGGTTTAACTCTGGCCTCACTGAATTAATATCTTTGCCACTTCTTGACTTCATTTCCTTGCAACCAATAAGCATTTCCTCAACTTTAGAAAGAATGGCAGCAGAATTTGCCTCAGACTGTTTAGGTGTATCTCGCAAGATGTCAGCATCCTTACATAATGCCAAAAGTTTATAGCCCACTTTTTGCCCTTTTTCCTCATTAGCATTAGTAATGATTGGCTTCAAAATTTTAGTCAGAAATCGAATGCAGCTAGGTGATTCCAGCAGATGCTCATCTGACCCCTGAAATTATGTAATTATACAAGCCTTAAGGACTAATATGATTAAAAGAACAAGTAGAGATTCAAATCCAATGTGAAGTATACCAAATGGTATAATCTCAAGTTCACAAATAAGACTACAAAAAAGATATCAGAATATGACATTCTGGAGATCAACTAAATGATTTGTTTTTTTTAGGCCATCAACTAAATAAATTGAATATTCACTTTTCACAAATATTGAACTTCAATAATCCCCCAAGTATAAACTTATTTAGGATGGGCAAGGGTTTGGGGTTTAGAGGACAAGGGCTTGGGGTTAAGTTTAGTGGGGTATATAGGAATATCCCTTCAGGCATAAAACTTTTTGAGTTAAAAAACGAAAAAAAAATTTCCCAATACCCAAACCTTCCAAGTTAAACTCCCAGAGCCATTTACCAAAAAAACCCCAAAGCCAGATATGCTGACATGGTAATCATCTTTATTCCCCATATAAAGTACCGTTTTATGATCCATAAATTGCAAAAGTTTCTTGGATAGTCATTGTGAAACTTTTCATGAATCATGAATGACATCTTACATCACTGGTCAAAACATAGAAGAGAGCTGCAGCAGCCAGATTGCTTGGTGTGTCATCAAAGCTAAGACCCAAAATAGCATCAATTATTATCTTTGCCATCCTGAAATGAACACACTTTCAAACTTTAGTGTACCATCTAGAACTTGATGTACAGATTCCAATTCCAGCAAGACTCCAAGAAATCATAATGAATGTCTCTCAATGTAATTCAGGAAAAGATAACTAATATACTCTTATCAATGGAAAGCCACCCTGTTAGGCTTGATAACCAAAAAGATGACAAATTGACAGTCAAATCCAAGTTCAAATTGATAACCAAATCACATCCATGAAATATCAATATATTTGACAACTCTAATGCCCCAAATATAATGGTCACAAAGTCACTGAGGTACTTCCTAATTACTAACTTAATACTTCCAGCCTTAATAAGACAAAGCTAAGAACTATTATAAAAAGATCCCATGACACAACACACACTATACAAATTTTGGAATCCACATGACATTTCTTATTCCTTTATCTAAATTGCACCACCAAACGTAAAAGAAATCCACATAACCACTCTAAATTTCAAAATATTATTTAAAATTTCAAACCAGAAAATTTCTATAACCACAGTTCAAGTTCAATAGCCATCAAGAAACCATCTAAATTGCACCTCCCAATTCATTCCTAATCTTTTTTTTTTTTTTTTGGGACAAATCTAAGCACATTTCAACTATTGCACTGCATCAAGATTCAAAAGGTCCTCGATTAAAAAAAGAGATTCAAAAGGTCCAATGAAACTCTTAACCAAACTTCAGAACTCGAAATCCACGCAAATTAACACTGTCAAGATGTCAATTTCAGAAATTCCAGCAATTTGTATTGTAATGGAACCCAACTTGAAATTTAAAACTTGCAAAGAATTAAAACCCCAGAACATATCTCAACTTACCCTTGGGCTCTCAAAAGTCTTCTTTGCTGGGCAGTGCCAGCAATTGAAAGCAACGACAACAGACTCGCCCTCCGGATCCTCACCGGCTGCCCTTTCTTTAACCCATCAAGCGCAAAATTCACCTCGTCGACATGTTCCATCATCTCCCCGAATTCCTGCGTCTCCATCAAAGTCGAAGTGGGCGCAATCCAGGGAGAAGCAACCCCCTTCTTGCCATGCTTGTGCTTTACCTTCTTGGATCTCTTCACGGCGCCAATATCCGCATCGTCGAAATCAAAAACGTCATGATTTGAAATCTTGTACGTGCCGTTGATATCTTGGGAAGATGACCACAAAGAAGAGGATTCTTGAGAGGAGAAAGGGAAGTTGTATAAATCTTGAGATGGCATCGTCTCTTGGGAAAGGGAATTGGGGACGGAGTCGTTTAGGGGGACGGAGTCGTTTAGGGGGTCGGAGAAGGTTCGGCTAATTGGGCGGCTGCGGCGACCGTAAGTCCGAACAATCATCGTCTTGCAGGTCGCCGGTGTTAGGTCGGAATCGGCATTTAAACGGGAGGAGATGGGTATTTCGGGAAATCGAAAAGCAAAGAAATCACGAAATGGAAGCCCTCCCTTGCCGTTGAGCTGGAGAAGACGAGAAAGAGAAAGGAGGAGAATGTTTTTAGAACAAAAGACACGATTTTGATTTTGGGGATCCGGATTTTGATTTGAACCCGTTTTGTGAGGGTAATTTAGTCATTGTATAGGGCATGGGGTCCGGCTGGTTCAAAATTTGAATTACCTTATTGAGATACCAGAGTGAAATACCTAGAACACCCTTATTCCTTATACATATATATGTTAGTTGTATAAATGAAAGATAATACCCTTTTATTTTTTAATATTCCTTATCCTCTTATTTCAATTTATGTATAAGTGTATTTTTCATTTTAGAGTAATGATTCGAATTTGACCCTTTATAAATTTATTCAAAAAAAATATTACCTTGAATTTATAATTTTTTATCAAAAATTACTAAATTACTCAAATTATTGGTATTTATTATTATTATTTTTTTCTTTCATGTTCCAAAGACAAAAAAGATGAGAAAAAAAATGGAAAACCATTTGGGTAGAAGAAAATAAAGAAAAGAAAAAGGACTACAATTATATGTTTTTCAATTTGAATGGTACCTTTTTTTTCAGGTATTAGAGTAATTGATTTTTGTTTTTAAGGAAAGGAGAACAAATTCTTTTACGAAAGTGAAAAAGTTTTTTTAAACAAGTGACAAAATTACTTTAACTAAAAAGATTACACATTTGTATTACATTTTTAACATATGGTTTATATGGTAATATTATTAAAGGATCATGATAGGTGCACACTTATATTCAACACCCAGGTGTGCACACCCTAATAACCAAAGTTAACTAAAAAATTTTAAAAATGTAATTACAAATTTACTTTTTCCACTTTCTTTCTTTTTTTTTTTTTTTTCCATTTTTCCTCCCTGGCAGCAGAACCCAGATCTGGGTTCTGCTGGGTTGCTGGGTTCTGCAGCTCGGGTTCTGCGAGCTGCAGAAGAACCCGAGCTGGGTTCTGCTGCTGGTGCAGAACCCAGATGCTGGGTTCTGCTGCTGGTAACCCAGCATGAGCAGATCGGATTCTGCTCGGGAGAAAAAATGAAAAGAAAAAGAAAGGAAGAAGGGAAGGTCGGGTTTTGCTCGGAAAAAAGGAAAAGAAGAAGAAGAAAGTGTAAAAGGTAAATTTGTAATTACACTTTTAAAATTTTTTAATTATTTTTGGATATGTGAACTGTGCACACCTAGAGGTGAGATTCATGTGTGCACACATCATTATCTATTATTAAATTATCATTAATTAATTAACATATGAAAGAGTTTTATTAAATATATTTTAGTTTATGGTTATTATTTTCTTTTCTTAAATTTGTGACTCAAACAATCTTAACTAAGACTAATGGACACCTTCAAGATTGAGTTTTAACTTTCTAGAGTGCTCTAAGATTCGTGAATCCTAGTGCGTAATGTGGGTTTCTTGCCTTTTGGTGTTGGTACGTTTGCTCGGTTTCCTTTTATCCATTCATTCATTTGCTTCTCCTTTCCTCTTTCCATTTTTCATATTGTTCTTTCTTCTTATGTTCTATTCTTTCCCTTTCTTTCTAATGGTCTCCTTCTTTTTCTTTTCTCTCATTTTCTTTTCTCTTTCCTAGCCTTCCTTTCTACATCATCTTTGCCGCAAATTTCTTGCTCTCCCCCCTTGGTTTTCTTCCCTTTTGCTCTGTGCATTGCTTCGGTTTTTCCTTCTCCTGTTCTTGTTATCTTCTCTTCTTTTTCCATTTCCCAACTTTCTCCTGCTACCACCTTTTTTGCTTTCATTTACTCATTCTAAAATTTAGTTGCAAATGATGATGATGATGAAAAAAGAAAGAAAAAAAAGAAAAAAAAAGAAGAGATTTTTGTTTCACTTCGTGCTTTAAAGATATAAACTATTACAATAGTTATAAAGTATCTAAATAAATGAATATTTTAATAGATAAATTACTCTTTTAAAGTTGTTATTGTGATATATTTATATCTTTTCATTAGTATTAATATATATCTAGTTTGTATTTTATCGTTGTTTTGTATAATTATAAATAATAGGATAACAAAATATAATTTTATTTATTAGCTCTTTTTACTTAGTAAAATGTGTAAATGAATACCACATTTACACATTTAATACCATGAGACCATAGAAAATATTTGTTAGCAATAAATCAAGTAGCTTGTTTTATTATCTTATCATGTGCTTTTTCCTCTCTAATGATCTACTAATTTGTCTTCACTACTTCTTTCTCCAATAACTATATTCCTCTTTCCTCTTCCCCTCTTTAGTTTCCTCTCTGCCTCCCACCTTTTCCTTATTTATTTGCATTTTTGCGTTAGATATTGTTAAATGAGAATGTTTTATAGATAAAATTATACATTAAAAACATAATTTGAGTAATAAAATTGTTAAATTATTATTAATAAAACAATATAAAAATAATTTTATCAAATTTATTTTAGTAAATTAACTCCAACTTTTAAAATAATTTTTCATTAATAATATACATTACTCATA